CAGAAGAATATTTTAGTGCTTTCGGTGCACACTTTCCCCCTTGCTCAATTATTTAAAAAAAGGTAACTTTCCATATGGACCTGAACCTTCGAGTTCCTTCACCGGCGCAGCAAAGCTCCTCAGTGAAACAAAACGATGTGCAGAAAGTCCAGGACCGGGTTCCACATCCATAAATAATAACTCAGCGGCGAAACTGAAATATCGGCGGCGAAACTACAAAAACGCGTATCTTGGTTTACCGCGCTGCAAACTTTGCGTCATGATTTATTTCCTGAATGTACATAAATACTCGAAGTCATTTCTTGGAAACTTCTCTAATTTTTCTGCTCCATACGAAGAACATTCCGTGAAAATTTCAAGGAACAAGGTTGGTTCGTCCTCATTTCAGAAAATAAAACGGGAGCGGAGATTTTGAAACACCGGGAAGGAGATAAGCGTTTTTTTCAGTTTCATCGCCCACATGCATTTTCTCAAAGGGGAGATGAAATGTGGGAAGGTAAAAACGCTGGGAAAGTTTATGATTTCTTCTGACTGCATTATTGAATTACGCTCTGGCAGCACACGTGAATTTCAATACCCCTTAAACAATGTTATTTGTTTAAGCACGTCGGGTCGGTCTTGAAGTCAGAATATTCTCCATGGAGCCGAGAAACGTTTCAGATGTAGGAGCGAAGCTTTATGAAGCAATCTATTTCAACCGTTCATTCACATTATTCAAAATGTAGCCATCTATGTTCCGACCAAATTTTCTTGATATTAAGCGTGAGAAAAAATAACTGAGAAATCATTCAAATTGAAATATTAAGATAAAAAATGTTTCAATTAAAGATTTTTAAGAATAGCAACACAAAAAAGACCTCTTTTTCGAAAAGTTTGTTTTCCTCTCGTTACACACCCTGTCCAAATTGTAGCACCTCCTTGATATAGAGCGAAGTGTGCATCGCGTCGCTAAAAGCGCCTTCATTTCGTTGATATGCAATATAGACAACCGAAGAGCAGGAATAGTTGTATTTAGCGCCTGGATTGGTAAATCGTTACTGATGAGTAGCATTACTAAAATAGGGATTTAAACAGTCAACAATCAACCCACAGATTTGTAAGACAGAAGGTTTTCTTTGAATTTTAAAAAAAAACTCATTTGAATTTAATTAAACATTTTTCACCGAGAAAAGTGTTTAAAATTAAAAACAATTTCTATATCTGAAAAAAGCTTCTTTGAATCAAAGATTTAATTTTTTGTACCTAGTTTTTAAAAAAATGTTTTTAGACACATTTTTTTCAGTGAGCTGGAATTAAGTTACGGGATTCTTGTTGCACACGGCATTTTAAGGCGTCACAAACCCTGTAAACGCCATTCAGAGACGAGACGTGAGTAGAATGAAGAGGCTTTCTTTTCATTCCGATTTTGGAGGAACGATCATAAACCGGAAATCTTAGAGCTTTTAAGATAATGGAACGCGCTGAGGTTGAGGTAGGAATCTGGAGAAATCCGAGCCCTTACCAACGAGAGGAAGGGAGGGGGTGGGTTTGATTAGAATTCCACCGCCGGCTTTCCAGAAACCGCCCTTCGATACTAAGTATGCAAATTCCTAATTTCACGACCCACTTTGTATTCGGACGTCCGACTTAGTGCACCAAATTGACGGATTAGCCCGAAATAGAAGTTTAATTGGACCCGGACCCTCCGAAATCCACGCGACTCGGTCGGTGAAACCTCGTGGTCGGAGACACTTTAATTCAATTGCGGCTCTTACGTTTGATATTGGAATTAGGTTCCGAATTTGGGAGAGGTGATTGAACTGCGTCTTTTCTCTTCAAAAAATTTGCATTGATATTAACTGCACAGGTTGGTGGTCTTTTGGACTACATTTCGAGGAACGCTTTCTCTGGCTCATTTTTAGAGCAACAATGCAAGTTAGTGCCAATTCGTTCCTCAATTCAAATTGGTGCTTTTACATATGAACCAGAAATAGTGGCCATTATTTTTTTTTTTATTATTTTTTTTTTTATTTTTATTTTTTTAGGAATTTTCTCGTTTGTACCTCTCTTTGAGACTTTAAAGCTCTGTTTCGAATTTGGGATGGGTGATTGAACTGCGTCTTTTCTCTTCAAAAAAATTAAATTGATATAAACTGCACAGGTTGGTGGTCATTTGGGCTACATTTTGAGGAACGCTTTTTCTACCTCATTTTTAGAGCAACAATGCAAGTTAGTGCCAATTCTTCCCTAAATTCAAATTAGTGCTTTCATGGATGAGCCAGAAATAGAGGTTTTGGATCGCAATGTGCTATCCATTTTTTTTAAAGGAATTTGCTCGTTTGTACTTCTCTTTCAAACTTTAAAGCTATTACATTCAGTATTGGAATTAAGTTTCGAGTCTGGGAGAGGTGATTGAATTTATCGTCTTTCCTCTTCAAAAAATTGGACTCAATTCAAATTGGCGCTTTTATTGATGAGCCAGAAATAGTGGTTCTGCATCGCAAAATGCCGTCAATTTTTTTTAAGGAATTTTCTCGTTCGTACCTCTCTTCGAGGAAAAGTCGTATATCTGAATCTCTAGAAGCAGTATTGTCTTGAAAGCGTTACACTAATTTCCACTCAGGTTTTATGTAAGCAACACAATACTTGAAACTTACTCTCAGCCAGTTTCTCTTGGTTCTTTTGAAGGTTGATATCGAAGGTGAAACTGCAAAAATGCGTTTCTCGGTTGCAGTGTTTCGAAATCTTCTCTCCTATTTTATTTTCTAAAAAGAGACCGAACCTACATTATAGCTTGAAAATTTCACAATTGGATCACAGAAATTGTTCAACAAAGCTGTTCGAAAATTTCACTGAATTTTCTTCGTGCTGCCGTTTAAATTCGGTGAAATTTTCAAACAGATTCAACAAACTATTTCTCTGTAAAAAAATAAAAAGGCAGCGGAAGTTTTGAATCGTCACATGGCGATACTTTGGCTGGAAGGTGACGATGTCAAAAATGACATTTGCAAATGACAAAATGACATTTGCAAATGCACAAAAATGACAATGTCAAAAATGACAATTGCACATGTCAAGGCACCCTGCGTGGATACACTGCCCCAAAACCGCCCTGCATTTTCACATGTAGATTATTAATTCATGCTGGAGCTCCAAGCCTGGCTTTTTCACTCCGCTATTTATCGAATAAAAACACATCAGCTCAAGGATTACCCTAATGAAACCCAAAGCGATAATGAAACTAAAGAGACTCAGTAATTTGATTACGGTGTTTCCAGATTTCTCCTTTTTTATTTTTGGGAGGGAAGTTTTTTGTGGCGTGGGATTTTTTTACAACAGTTGAAACCTGTAGTGTATGAAGGCGTTCGGTGAGATTTGTCCACTTCGGAAAAATAATTTAAAACTTAAATTGCATTTAAAACTAAAATGGTCTTCAAAAGTACACAAAAATAACTATGGTTCGTGGCTAAGAGTTGAGTTATCGAGGTCTATTTTTCCCCCGCCAGAAGTTTTATTCGCAATCGCCTTTATCTCAACTTATTGTCCACGTTTAACTTGTCAAACAATAACAAAATATTCTAGAAGGCGCAGACCGCGTCAATGGACAACCCCAGTGCGGAAGAGGACGGTGCGTAGTGCAGGTTAAGTGAGCCTTAATTGGACTGAGTTAAGCAGAAAGGAACCAACCCACATTTTGGAAAAAATTGAGTTATGAGTGGTTTTGAACTCAACCACTGCTGTACTACCTATCGCCAAAAAATCAGAGTTTTTGTTGGAGCAAATTTTGCAGAAATTGGACTTGAAGTTCATCTTTAACACGGAGTCTTATGCAGGAGCAAAACTTTAAACCTCTTTTTCTTCGTTCGATCCCGATGTGGCTTGGTTCCTTTCTGTTTAACGCGGTCCAATTGAAGGCGCCCGATCTTGAATCGTAAGAAGAAAGAGATTGAGAAATCACTTGGACACAGGCCCGCCACATCCCATCTCGGGCCCTGGTGCCAGATTTCTGGCCCGGGCCCCTAGCACAGAGGGGAGTCCGGGGGGCCTCCCCCGGGAAATTTTTGAAATTTTAAATATATTTGGACGCATTTTGAAGCTCTTATGATGGAGATTTTCCATCAATTTCTGCAGAATAATTACGCTTTTTTTTACTTTCAGCACCAAATACTTTCGAACTGTTGCATTCAAAACATCTATAAAAATTTTTTTGAGGGGGGCAGATGATACTTTTCAATTCTAGGGGGAGCCGGGCCCCCTGGACTCCCCTTTTGTACGTCTATGGCAAGGGAGTTGAGCCATTGAAGTCGAGAATGCCCGGACAGGGGCCTCTTAGCATCCGACAACAGAAGAAAATGAAACGCAGTTACTCAAAATATCATTCTACTTATACTCAAAATCTTGAAAATAGATAGAATCTCTAAAAAAGTAAGACAAATTTTATATTGCCCTAGCGTGTATTTGACACTTCATTCATCTTGCGGAATTTTTGGGCCATTTTTTCACTTTTCCTTACGAGACAAGGATTACACATGAATTCGTAGGGGATTGTCACCTGCGTCACGGGCCCCTCCAGGGCCCGGGCCCCGGTACCGAGGACCCAGTATCCCCCCCCCCTTGTGGCGGGCCTGCTTGGACATACCGGGTCCCGATTGGACTAAGAATGTTCATTTTCATACTTTCCTCCATGCTTTTTTAAGAAAACTAAGGTGTTTGAAAATCATGATTTTGTCGCTTTGGACGCGTCCATCCTTGATCGATTCATGTTCCAAAATGGCTCGGAAACCTTATGTAGGAATAATGATGACTCTTGCTACTTGGCAGCATCAGGTTTTCCTCCTTTAAATGTATGAAAAACAATCAATGTTAATCGTGATAGTCTGCCTAACACAGAGCCCATTACTTATAATGGATTTAAAGGAGGAAAACTTGGCGTTGCCAATTATAGCAATAACATCCACTAACCGGGAAAGAACGGCACAGAAAGACAGTAAAAATTCAACCAACATTAATTTTAATTGCAGCTTACAGTTGAAGTACTCCGGGAGCTATTAATTTATCTTTATCGGAACGAAATGAACCTTGGAATAATTCTGAAACGAACATCACTACCAGCCATTGGTCGACAATTTAAATAAACCGTGATTAAACTAATCTGAAATGTGTTTCGCGAGTAAACATTCGATGGTTCAAGGAAGCGTTCGAGTAAAACCTTTGATGCGGGAGTGAAAATGACGTGTACTGCGGATTGCATGAAGCAGAATTGAAGGCGCACAATCTGGTACCGAAGTGCGCGAGAGAGCAGTGTGCAGTGCGGGTTGCACGAGCCCCGATCAAAGGTGCTTAACCTAAAACCGTATGATGCCGACTGTGTGAGCAGCGACTGAAGGTTTTCCATCTCAAACTTTGAGATGTGTAGTGGGGGTTGCGTGAGCCCTGATTTAAGGCGTTCGAATTAGAACCGTGATGGTGTGTGTAGTGCGGGCTGCGTGAGCCCCGATTGTAGGCGTTTCGGAAACAGTGGCGATGGCGGATCAAGGCGGTGGTGTTGTGGAGCACCGGTTCGTGAGCCGTCGGCCAGTGAGGACAAACATAAAACGCCAGAGCGAGTCGTCGAGCTCCTCACCGATCAAATCCATGAGCTCCTTCTCATCGCTGTCCCCCTCCTCGTCCATCGAGAAGCCGGATCCACCGCCGAACAAGAACCCGAACCAGCTATACGAAGCCACCGACCTCAATTGTAAGGTAAGCCACGATTCATAGCTTCTTTCATAATTTTCTTTTGGCATGGTAAAAGTAATAGCTGATTTAGTTGCTACATAATTCGATACCAAAGATATTATAACAGTATGCGGCTAGGGCGGGGTAACCTGGACCTGTTAGGGGGTACATGCGCCTGGCGGATAGGCAGCGGCGAACTCTCCCATGGGAGAAGGGAATAGCGGAGAGTTCGCCTCTGCGTAAAACACGCTGCCTATCCGCCAGGTGCATGTACCCCCTACCAGGTCCAGATACCCCGCAATAAGTAAGCCCGTACCGCATATCTAACTGTTATAATATCTTTGTTCGATACATTGGGATAGAAAAATCGAAATCTTATTGGCCTGTTTCCATTGCGATTAGGCTTGTTCCGCTTTAAGGTGATTCGATGGAAGCTGTATTTTGTGCAAAACGATATGCGAAATATAGCATCGATTGGCTCAATTTTTTCAGCTGCTCGTCATTTTCCTCAAATTTTGAGATCGCAATTCTGTTGCCAGGAGACTAAATAATTCACTTACCAATTTTGACAAACAAATTCACCGTAATAAAGGCGCGTGGTTTTTTTAGAGGAAAAATATCACATTCGAGTGCAGTTTCGATATCAGTGTTGAATGCGATATTTTTCCTCTATAAAAACCACGCGTCTTTATTACGTTGAATTTGTTTGTCAACATTGGTAAGTGAATTCTTCAGGTTCCTGACAACAAAGTTGCTATCTCAAAATTCAAGAAAAATGACGAGTAGCTGAACAAATGTAACCAATCGATGCGATATATCACTCGTCGTTCTGACACAAAATATGGCGTCCATCGAATCACCTTAAAATCAAGGGTAAAAATAAAACAGCCGATTAGAGGGTTGAATTTTTTGAGACTGAGGTTATGTTTTTGTTTACAATTGAACCAGCGAATGCATCAATCTATCGAATGACCTGATCACTAAATCAGTCTACCAAACCGGAAATTTTCTCAGGAGGCTTAAGCACAGAAAATGAGACTACGATAAAAACAATAAAGACTATTTCATTTTAACTTTTCTAAAACTCACCTCTAAGAGAATTTATTTATAAGGAGGAACAATTGCAAATTGGGCGGTTTTTTGACATCTTCAATTAAAAAGTTCTCGACTTTTCGGAGCGCAATGTCTCAGAACAAATATTGTGCGATATGAACTCCGGCAACATTAACTTTCCTCACTCACGACAGATAACAACCCCCCCCCCCCCCNTCAACTCCTCCAAAATTGATAGGTTAATATTTCACGAACTATTTTAAGTCGCTATTGTTACTTTAGCGAAGAGTATTTTAGACACCCCTTGCTGACTTTTCAAGGTACCCGCAAAAGTTCAGGAAGCAGAAGTTCCGTCCGGTAAGTCAACACGCCCGACTGGGCTCGAACATGCGTCTTTGAGTACTCGATGGTGCTTGAATAGTGTACTCAGTAAGTTTGACAGAGAGAGACTTGTTCGTAAAGTCGTCTTCGTAGATCAAAACCAGATCATCAAAGTGGATGATTGGTGCAACTGTTTACCGTTGGCAGGTTAACATCATGATCTCCTATCGAATTCTATTCCCGAGTTCGGAAACCGTTTTTGCACCCGAACTTCTTGTAAGAACATTTTTCTAGCGTTCCAAACCTACGCTTCCGTACGGTTGAAATGCAGCGTTGCAAGTTCCTGGTGGATTATTTTGGCTCAACTCCGGGTGGTTCGAAAAATGCCTGTGCCATTTTTGATCATCGAATTTCATAGAACCAATGGCTAAATCTGGTGATTGATGAGACAGAGACGGAAAAATTTCTCGAGAGGTTCCGAACTTTGAAATAAGATTGGATTTAATGACATGTTTCGAAATAAGCACTTCTTTAGACATTTTTTTCAAGAAAAAACAAAAAAAACTGCAGATTCCGACCAATAAATGTTTTGCCAAAAATTTTGCGTGATAAATTTGACCATACGAAAGGGGTTATACATATGGTGGAATTGGACGGATTCGGTCAGAATCAGTCTTCGCCTAATTTCCTCTGGTGTTTGATTTTAGAGTAGACACAAGTCATCATGCTGCCTTTAAATCGTCTGCATATGGACTCTCTCTTGATTATACAAAATACACTCTTATGAATTTATATCATCAAAATAAGTCTTAGAGTTTTTTAAGAAAATAACAAATCGGAGGAAATTAGGCAACATCCTACGTTATTAGGTTAATTATGGTTAAAACCATCCATTTCACAAGTGTTCTTTTATCATTTGCAATCAGGGACTGCTATTTTTGACCCAAACATAAAAGGATGTATCGCTGCATAGGGAAGGTGATGGCTGTGTCTAAAATGAGTCAGGAATCGTAAAGTTCTTCATTGCAAAAAGTAGTCTGAGTTCCTCAATGGTCATTATTGAGTCTCCATCCCTAAAAATTCACACAGGAGATGTTGTTCTTTAAAATTTGATTAAAATCATTTTAAAGCTTGAAACGGCCTCTTAGATTTATGAAGATAAATTAAAAAATAAAAAATAAAAAAAATCCTTCGACGTAGAGGCCTCAACTCTCTTTCCCGTGTTGAGGCATCATAAAATGAGCCATGATGAGTTGATTTAATGAGTTCTTTAAAATTTGATTAATAATTTCAAAGTTTGAAACTGCCTCTCAGATGTATCGAGTAAAATTTAAAAAAAAAAAAATCATTCGACGTAGAGGCCTCGACTCTCTTCCCCATGTTGAGGCATCATCAAATAATCGCTGAAGCATGTATAAACCCCATCAAATCGAACTACCTTTCGGGCCAGGAAAAGTGTCCACGGAAGCAGAGAATCTCCTTAGAAAAAAAAAAAATTCCGTCGGTTAATTAACTTTATCGACAAAATACGGGTGATCGAACAGAATAAAGGGGTGGGACGGCTGCAATCCCGTGCTAAGCCGTGAACTTTTATCCCCCGCTAAGGGCGGTCTAAATGTGGCGAAGGGCGAGAAAGCGCTCCGTATCCGAGACGTGCGAATGAGAGCGTTTAAAAGTTTATGCACGCGCCGGAGGAGAACATCTATTCGTGCCCCGGAGCCGCCGGGTCTGGGACCCTGAGCCGATTCGAGTCACCGATACCGTGTTTTCCCGCGTCCGCTCACCTTCGTTACATATTTCCGCCTCCGTTCAATCTGTGCCAGCCTCCCCTTCCTCCGCCGCACGGTGGAATGGATCATTATGAGAGGTCGGACAAAATGTGGGAACTTAAAAAGCTTTCATCTTTCTGAATAAGAAACCGAGAGGTTCAAAGATATTCCATTAATTGATTTCACGTGGTATTTTCTATTATAAATATCGCAGGTAAATATTAAAATTAGGCATTTCGTGAAATGCCTATGCGAATGGGCTAATATTCTCCACTAAATTGAAAAAAAGGAGTCAGTTGCAAAATTCTGACAGTTCAAGCCTTTGAAAATTTGACAAAAAATGCTCAGCAGAATTTTGGACCATTTTAAGGCCGTTTCAATGATTTTCAGAGCTTGATTGAGTATCCATTTTGAGTTCTTGACATTTGCAATGTTCCGGGAAAAACAAAATATTTTCAAATTCTAAAATTTCTCAAAAGCCGATTGAATGGTGAAATTCCACTGAAATTCTCAATTTGAACGACATTCTTGTTCATACATTGAAATATTGAGAGCTTTACGTCAAAAACATAGAAAATCTCGTATACCTACAGAATTTGACGAATTGCCTACGCACTTGCTAAAGTGCCTGATTTCAATATTTTTCTGCCACGTAAATACTCTTTAAAATTTGAAATATGATAAAATATACAAAAAAATTTGCGATTTTGGTAAAAAAAATCGTGTCCGACCTCTTTCAATGGCTCGCTCCACCGTGCGACGTGAGGCTCTTACTCTTGCTCGGTGGGGTGCCCGTGAGACTTTAACCTGTGATGCCGCTTTAAAACGAGGTAAAAAAAAGGCCGTATTCACAGTTTTTCCTTGAACAGCTTGTTTCCATAGGGAGACCCATAGATGCAAAATTTAATGAAACTTTATGACATAAAAGTCTGTAGATTTGTAAATTTTCGAAGTTTAGAGCCCCCTCCTTCCCCCGAGCCAGATCAAAAAATGTTTTGAGGGGCTTCGGAACGGTCTAATTCGGATTCCTGATGGTCAAATACAAAATGAAGCAAATATTTTTACTGAGCCTAAAATACTATAGGATAATTCTAAGATAAAAATTACTAAACTCACTTTGTGTTTTAAAAACACACATCGATTATACTCACCATACATATAAATATTAGAAGATTAAAACATAAAAATGATAATGGATAATCATTTTTTCCATTTAGTAAAGTTTAGTAGTTTAGTTAAGTAAGTATTTAGTAATTTTTCAATCCAGCGATACTGAATTTCGAGGTCCCCTCCCTCAAAAAGGTTGTTATTTTGAACAGGAGTGGACGGTTTTTGGATTTCGTATATATTTAGGGTAAAATTTTCTGCGTTTTTTGAATCCGACGGAATAATTTCAAAATTTTGCCCCACTGTCCCATGTTTTAAAATCGAAACCCCCCTCTACCTTTCCGAAGGGTGCTGGGGATGGGGGGCTACAAGACCATGAAATTCGAATATCATTGGATCGATACACAATTCAACCCCCCTCCCTTGCGGTTTCTGACTTCGTGCGACCTAAAATAACCGAGGAAAAAATCTATTGAAGGTCAGCAGGAATTTCTAGGAGAGATCGGGTCCGTAATGATAGAGTGCGTCAGATAATGGAAGTCGAAAATGACATCGTGTTCGACGTCATGACCAAACAACTTGTTTGGTATGGTCATGTCAATAGGATGACGGAAGAGAGGCTGCCAAAAAAGATGCTTGATTGGGTTCCTCCTGGGAGGAGACGTAGGGGACGCCCAGTGAGAGGTTGGCGACAGGGGGTGTTAAATGAGATAAGAGATTGTCAACTCCCTGATGACCTGTGGGAAGACCGAGCTTTGTGGCGATTAGGCGTCGCACAGCGCCAAAGAGCGCTATAAAAGCGACTCATATATATATATATATATATATATAAAATCTATTGCGAGTGGTTATAGGACATTTCGTCGACGATTTTTCGTCCGCGCGCCTGTTTTTTTCCAGGAATTTACGTCCACGCGTTTTTTCGGCACGGGAGTTTCGGTCCACGTGCCAATTGAGACCCAAAGTTAATTGGCCCACATGTAAATACAAACGACAATTGCTCACGGCGTTTTTGGATGAAAATGTATAATGTCTTGGAAGAATGAGGGTTTGCTAGTTTTTTCGTTTTGTCTGTTTGGTCCAACGGAGAATAATATATAGTTGAGAGTTTTGGTAAAAATGGGGGAGCGTCAATTCCATGAGACAAAATTCACTAAAACTCTCTACACCTCTTTGGTGTAGCAGGACTTAATTATCTTTCAAGAAATTCCCACAGTATTATACCTGAACCGGATAAACCTCTATATTTGCCTCAGCTAAAGGCTCTTGGATTTTTCCTGTGTACGATAAGTATCTTAATTTATTTTGCGAGGAAAGATCTGTACTTTTAAAGGATGCCTGTCATTCTTAATACGTTCAATTTCGTATAATACTGTGCAACACCTCTGTTGTGAAATAGTTGCTTCAGGCGCCGCCGCACGGTGGGCGGGCGGCCAGCGCTAAACCGCATTGGCGCCTACAAACCTAAGTGGATACTTCAAGCATTGTGCAATGCGAGAAGTATCCACTTAGGTTTGTAGGCGCCAGTGAGCCTCTCGCGCTGGCAGCACGCCGCCGCTCCGCTTTGTTAGGCTTTAATATTTATACTCGCATAGTCAGCGTTTTTTAACTCATGATTTTGAAATGTTTGCACACTCTGCATTGATTATTCTCATTTAAATTGGTAGGGAAAAAATATGTATGAATTTATCAAAGGAGAATAATAATATAATGTGTGTTTTTTAAATATTGGTGGTTCCGTGTCAAATTTAATGATTTCTAAGGCACTTTAATGTTTTCTTTTCCATTTTGTGCTTTCCTTGTGCTGCATAGTAACACTGAAAAAAAAGTGAAGTTGATTTAACATTGTGGATGTAAAAAAAGTGTGCGAAAACTTACAAAATGCTGAATTAACTCCTACAGCAGTAATCTTAGCAATGTCAAGATGTAAAACTAACTGCCGTAGCGGGTGATTAAGCATTTTGTGAGTTCTCGCACACTTTTTTTACATCCAGAATGTTAAATCAACTCAACTTTTTTTTTCGGTGAAGGTGTACGCGCAACCAAACGCTCAAAATTTGACGTATTTGACTCTAAAAGATCTATGTACAAATGGATTAAAACTAAAGATTGCGTGCTTCTTGGTTTTTTCCCCTCTTTTATTCATTTTTGCAGTTTCTGTCGGCACAACTGCGGCTCATTGAGATTAATTGTACATCGAATATCTTAAGGATAGAAATAAAGCCAAATATTCACCAATGACAATATAAAAAGATGATTCAAAAGGAGAAAGCAATAAAATTTCATTTAGAAAATGAGCAACCATAACAACACCTCCTTCTCTCTCAATTTCATATTGTCAATAAAATGTTACATATCGACTAAAATATAACGCTTGGACCAAGTCACTGTTGCTTATTTTACGTGTGGGCGTAAACTACTGGACAAAAAAGGTGCGCGGACAAAAAATCGTTGACAAAATGTTCTGAAACCATTGCGGGTAGTCTGAAACACACGTAGAAAACATTCTCTTTCGTGATTTTCAAACGCGCACAAATAGGCAGCACTGCCTCCGACCTTTTCGGTAAAAAAAGAGAGCCCACGGTGAATGATGCGCTCTTCCTTGCTTCGTTATCAGCCAAGTTACGAAGTTTCAGTCTTCATGATATTGACAACCCCTATCCTGTATTGACGAAAGCAAAACTTCCGAGAGAAAGTTAAACACAGCAAGGGCAGTGACAGCAACTTTCCATGAACGCGGCGGAGGTGGTTAAATAAAACGGAGGGAACAAAAATCTCCTCACATATAAACAGTTACCATAGCTTAAAAAAATTGTCAGGGGTTATTATATATACTTGTAGGGAGGGAAACCAAGTAACCATGCACCCTTTGAAACTAGGAACGCAAAATCCGATTGTATACAGGGTGATCCAGGGTCAAACAGCCAGACTGCAGGAGCGTGTTCTCTGTTCCATGGGTCAAAATAAGACTCTTTACTGCAAATTGAGATTTCGATTTTTTTTAAGATAATTTTTGAATTCAGGGCATAAACGTACAGGACAGTAGTAATTTTCATGAGATTTGGTTCACAACCGTTGCCAAAATTCAGAAAAAACGATTTACTTTCCGAAATTTTGGGGGGCTGTAGCTCCAACTTTAGGGAAAAATTTATACAACAAAAAAAGGCTTATTTTGACCCGTAGAACACGCTCCTACAGTCTGGCCGTTTAACCCTGGATCACCCTGTATGTACCACTTTCAGTTGATAATAATGTTGTTGGTTTACGATTTTCAGGTTATGCTCCTTGGTGACTCTGGCGTCGGGAAAACATGCCTCCTGGTTAGATTCCGGGATAATTGTTTTCTTTCCGGAAACTTCATCTCCACTGTTGGCATCGACTTTCGGGTGAGGATACAGAAATTTAGCTTGTAAGCTAATTCACCAGTAGGTATTCTATAAGCAGCAATGCAGATACTTCCGCACCTATCGATATTTTTTTACACCAGCCAAGATAATAGTTGGATGTTTCCGCGGATAAATCGATTTTTTTGTATATTATTAGCGTGTATTAACAGTGAGATCATTCATTAAAATTGTATATTATATTAATTTTCCTGCTTGAGACGCTTTAAAGCAACGCGATCATTGCTAAGAATGAAAATTGGCGTTATGTGCCAGAAAAAAAACAAAAATTCATTTTCAGAACGCAATTTTCACGCGTTTTAAACTAAGCTTCCTGATTTTTTTGGAACTGAGCTAGGTGTAATTGTAGAACCTACTATTTAAAAAGACGGAAAAGCTGCAGATATTTAATGCCACGAGATTGAACTCAATTTCACTCTCCACGAAACCTTCAATGTAAATAATCTACGTAGTTATCAGATTCTACATGAATTTAAGTCTACGCTGAAATACATACGTAAGACGAGACACTCTGGAAAATAAGAGAGGGGGAAATGGGCGATATATATTACACCGCCTCATTATTTTTGAATTTACACGATTTCACATTTTGAAAAAAAAACTTTGTCTGCTGCTCTTTATAAACTTGTGAGGCTGAAAAATTAAAATAAGAATTGCAAAATACTTGTTAAATAAAAGGGCAGATTGTACCTCGGCAAAAGGTAAACATAAGAAAAAATCAATAGTATATTGTCTCCTACGGAAAAATATAGTCCATAAAAATAGTCTTCTAGGTGAAAAAAAAAAAAAAAAAAATTAATACATACCGGTATTTGCGGGCAGACATTCGTCAGAAATGCGTTCTTCATTCTGAAACAAAAGTTGACATTCCTTTTAATGAATTAATAGTAAAATTTCACAAGAAAAAAAAATGATGAAAATGATGATATAAGATAAAAATTCCTTTTCCCCGCCTTATATTCAATCTGGACGTTACTCATAATTATTAGCACGCCGTCCAAATTTTCTTTTAGTCTTTGAAGGAGAAGAACCTCAGGGCTTTGGACATCTCTTTTCAGCTGAATCCCTGCCTGGTGGCCATCCTGAGCTATCCCGAGAATCAGAGCGGATTCAATTTCAAAGCACTCCGGTAACTTTTGTTAGAGTCTTTATAGTCTTCCAGACTACATCAAAGAAGACCAACTTGAGAAACAAGTTACATCAATTGGCGCTGAAGAAAATTTTTGCTGCTGCTGAAATCACCGGGGGCTTGGCGAGAGAGCTGATTCAGGATGGAACATCCTGATGCGATAAAACCTCCGTTCGACGCAGTGGCGTGGCGTGCTTTGCGATATATCGATTGTTATGCCATTTAAACCTACGGAAAAGGATCGATGAACAGGGTGTCCGCAGCGAACACCTTAATAATCGATTCTTTATCATAGGTTTAAATGGCAGAGAAATCGATATATCGCAAAGCACGCCACGCCACTGTCGACGTCACTCTAACTTCCTCCGATACTTAAACTTTTTGCTTTGACGAAGACTGAGCAGTCGACGCTGTGAACTTTATTGTTGACATTTATTCTCTCTATCAAGAAGGATGACTCATAATTACTCGCAGGAAAATTAATCCTACGAAGAGGATGCTAAATTTGTCCCTCGACTGCAATCACGGTCAATTTCTTTTCAATCTGCTTAATTTTTTTCTTTTTAAAATAGAGGCATCGAGGAAACAGCCTAACTCCAAAGGAGTCAACATTATTTGATGCTTGAATGTAATTGAAAAGTAATTTGAAAATATTTTTTAATTCCACGATGAAAGCTAATTGAAAATCAGAGCTTCAGTCCACAGAGGCAATATTCTCATAGGAGAGACATTTTTGTTGAGGTGAATCGAAAAACCTCTCTAGGAGTCTAAAGGAAAAGTTGCAGGCAGTTTTTGTGCGAATGGAAATTTACAAAACCAGTAATTTTGCTCTCTGGACATGAGAGTGTTTTACCTTTCATGTAAGATAGTTCCGACTCAAAACTACAGAGTTGAAACTGCAAACCTCGAACAACCATAACTCGGATATGATATCATATTTTTCAGATTTGTTTTACTTAAAATAATCGCAAAATGCCTACTTCACCATGCTTTGGTATCAGTTTTTCAATTTGTTTTTTTGCGAATTAAAGTTTTTTTTCTCTCCGAAGACGTCATGAATGTACATGTCGTATCAAAAATTTCATGGATACCTAAAAATTTAGAAGGGACACATAGTGATAATATTGCCTCTAAGGATCTTGCGAACATTTTGGCGCAAAGAAACGCTCGGAAAAGTCAAATTAAACTAGAGCCGTGACTTTCTGCATTTTACGCTCAAACCAGCAGTTTTCTGAGAAAGAATTTTGAAAATCCACTTTATGATCTATTTGGGTAGTTCGGTACAATCAACTAAACCACACGCAACTTTTCTTTTTAATGCCAGCGGATTACTTTATCAAATAACTCAAATTCCGGTTTCCCAACCTCATTGACAAAAAATCGCTTTGCTGAGAAACTATGCAGACAGAAATTACTGCCGTGCTGTGGAAGAACGCCGTGCAATCGATCAAGAGTTGCCAAATTTCCCCAGTTAAAGAAACAATTTTGGAGGAAAGTTTAGCATATTTTATCTTGAAATTTTCAGATATTTACGATAAAATTGCAAGAAAAATGATTCGGAAAATTTGAAGAAAAATATTTAAAATTTTCTTTGTATATTCAGTTTTTATTGAAGAAAATGTGGCAACGTCTGTAGGCTCATACGGCGTTCTTTTTTAGCACTGTAGAATACGTGCCGACTGTTAAGCAAAAGCGTCATCAACTTGTTTGTAACGCCTGGCACGGATACAACTATTCGTGTTCGACGGTTGTCTAAGTTGCATATACTATGAGTTGAAGGCGCTTTGCTTTTTATCGCGCTTACAGGAATTGAATCATCTAGTGTGGACGATGACCGGGGACGGTTGCATTGCTGACATTTTTACCGTAAATTTTCGGAATATTATGTGAAAGAGTCATTTCATTTAGTTGTATTTCTTTACGTGCAACAGACCCACGAACATCAAAAAGGATTATTCGTTGGGAAAGGCATAAAGTTCGCTACTGCCAAGTTTAGTTACCTTGTAACTGGCAGTGGCGGGGAGTGCTTTGCGATTTATCGATTGTTAAGCCATTAAAACCTATAGAAAAGGATCAATAAACAGGGTGTTCGCAGCAAATACCTTAATAATCGATTCTTTACCATAGGTTTAAATGGCATAACGATCGATACATCGCAATTCACGCCACGCCACTGGTAACTGGATATTACGAGCGACCGGAGAACCCACCGAAACTTCCTAAAACAATAAGCTCCGATTCGCCAAGAGGCGAAGTTCGACTCCAAGACGGCGCGACGCGAGGTTAGGAGCCGAGTCTTAAATGTCGGTTTGAATTAATTTTCAGAAACCTTTTCGCAACTATTGTTCCCTCCGCTTTCTGCTTCCTGACGGGAGATTCCCTGCTTACAGTCAGGTGAATTATTTAAGGCGAGTCGCTTAAGGATGGGTGCTGCCACTTCCGAAATTCGCGGGAACTACTTTCCGTCGGGCTACCGAAAGTTACGGTTCATTGAGCCGCGAGACTTGCTTTGAGAATTAGAACGATGCGATCCCTTGTCAAAGTTTCGCGCGGAAAAGTGAATGCACGACGGGAGGTGTAAACATAAATTTCTGAGCGAAAGCTTAACGTGTGCATTCGCTCCATAGAGCTCTCCCATTTACATTACGACTCTATGTACTCTATGATTCGCTCGGCGCATCAACAATTATAAACCCTGAGTTTCCACTCACTGTCTATCATTCATCAGGTGGATATTTTTACCCTATATTTCTGGATGCATGGTCTGAACAAAGGACGGCGTCTTATTAGTCCTTGTGAACACTCCAGGGTGGCATGACACGTAAAAAAGAAATGAAAGATCGGACATTTCAGTGAAATATTTCATGGAATTTCACGAGGATGTCAAATATTTCATAATTTTCAGAGGATGGAGTATGCAACCGGCCTCCGTTGGTACCTTTACCATCTCACTTTTTTTTACCAATTATTGGTAATTTTACCAAGACAGACTGGTAAGCTTACATAAAAACCGGTATTTTTACTGTTTTTTCCAGGTAAGAATACCACTTTTATTGGTAATCAATTCCCGGTAACTTTGCCATTTTATCTCGGTAATTCTACCACAGTCGATGAAAAATATTGGCGTTTTTACCAAGGCCCAGTAAAATTACCGAGAAAGTTCAATAATTTTACCGAGATTCCTCGGTAAAATTACCAATTCCGTAAATGGTAATTTTACCAAGAAAAAACTAGGATCAAATAGAACCCTGAGTTCTTGGTAGGTATTTTTACCCTTTTCTCAGTAAACACACCGAGATTTTTTTTTCAGTGCGGATTTCCGTATATTTTCCGCACCTCGCCGTACCGATCTTCCGCAATCCGTTCTTTTTCAGTGTGTCTGTACTTTTTCCATACAGTAGACACCCTGCTTCAAGTCTTGAATTCAGACAGTCAAGGTTCCCTTTGATAGCGGAATCGTCCCGGGATGAAGTTCGATGGCTGTCAACGTCTGCCCGGATCCGGAGAAAAAGTCCCGCCGAAAAGTCTCGAATTTAATCTCGAGGCTCTCGCAAGACTCCCGTTTAACGTGCCCATTCACTTTCAAGGGTCTGAGGGATTGAGAAGGGATCCTTGAAACGCCCGGAAAGTAACGCAGCCAAAATAATGGGATGATGTATGATTTTCCTTGACCTCGCGTGAACCGATCGCCTCAGAAATTGATGGAATTTTTGCCTCTTTTTTACCGTCCGCGAAAATGCGTATCACCGGCAGCTCTCTCGGTACGCGGCCGTGCTAAGGAAAAACGCCGTATGGACTTTCTAACGTTGCCGAATTTCCTCCGATACGATAACTAATTTTGAGAGAATGTATG